TGATTACTCTCTCCATAAAAAACTTCTTCCTAATATCCAGCCTAAACCTCTCCTGGCAGAGCTTAAGACTGTCCCCCCTTGTCCTAAGCACCTTGGCACAGGAAGCCTCTCCATTTCTTCATTTACCAGATTATTCCTTCCCATCATTCTGCTTCCTCCTCAGGAGACACCACCACCCCTCAGGGCGACCTTTCACAAACCCTGTTGCCAGATGCAAATCCCCTCCTTGGGGGAACTGGCTCACGGACTGTGCAGTGCCCACACTGTTTGTACAGCCCTGCACTGATTGACTAAACAATCAATCCCAAATCAATGGCCCAGCCACGCCAACAGCGCTTTTGCTTTCTGAAACAGAATACTTTTGGTTTTAAGTTTATTCAGACCGAGAGATAATTCCTGTGATTAAAGTAGTGGAAACCAGAGCATCCACCAAATCCAAAGAAGTGCCGGAGTGTGACGTCTCACACTTGGAATGCCTCCCTTGCCTGCACTGCTCTCTTGGGACGGGAAACAGGAGAAGGCAGTGAAACAATAAGAGTAATGAATAATCACATATTTAGGGAAAACATTCAGTTTAGAGTTTGCAATTTGATCAACAATCTGGATTTTGCTGCAATTTCATTTCAGAGTACAGATATTTCCATTTAAAGGCAAAAAAAATTGGGAAATACGTATTTCCAGAAAACCTATTATCAGAAACCCTAAAAAAAATGATAATAAGTTCAAGTATGTCTATTTTTTTCCACAAGACTCAGAGGGATACCACATGCCCTGTCTAGAAAACAATAAAGACCTGCTGAGCAAATGAAGGTCACTCGAATTTTTTAAAATTTAAAACTTTGTTTTCTGCTAAATGACAGGGAAATACACTGAAACCACAATCAACGTTTTCTGGGTCTGACAATGGCAGAAGTCCTCTTTCTGCTCCTCACTGTTGACTCACACACCACCGAATCCCAAGGGACCGTGCACTCCAAAACGAGGAGTGAGTAATCAGGAAAAAGATGTTTCCCCTCTTCAAAGTATTCACTAAAGCATTCATCCTTTCAAAACTTCCAAGCTGCAATTTGTTTGGCTTGTAAATCTTGCAGCAACGGTATTGACAATGTAACAGTGATCTAAACACTGTACAATGTAAATGTAATTGCTTCAAACACAGGACCAGGTCGTGGAGATTTCTTCCAATATGATGCAGGGTGAGTGGGTCTCACTTCAGCTGCCTGGGAGCAGAGGAACAGTGAGGACCAGAAAGAACAGTCTGATTATTAGACCTGTCTCAAAATAAAAGATGTATATTCTTCTACAGCTTGGGAAGGGACTTTTTTGAATTCATTCAAGACACCTTTGGAGAGAGTTGATACTATGAAGACAGCCAACAGTTTCGGAGAAGGAATATTTCAGGATGCATCTAAAAAATGACTCACTGGCTCTCACTGCCATTTTGTTTACTGCTGTGGAAAGCAGCAAAATGTAGTTGTAATAAAGCAAACTTTGAAGAGAAATGTATTAAAATATCTACTTATGGATGGATGTATTCTTATGTTTTGCTCAATGAGCTGATTCACTACCATAAACAATAGAAGTCACTTTACAATAAGACAAAATAATTGATTTATCAAGAAGAAACCATGGGGTGTGATTATGAAGTAACGCATTGCTTGGCAATTAAGAAGTATTTGCTGCACTAATTATTGGAATTACTAGGCAGGGGTAGTTTACAGTATTTCTTAATCTTTTCAACATTTTACTCTTCAAATGTCAAATCCCAACAACCCAAATATTCCTGGCAAATCAGAAAGCAGAGAACAACCCTCCAGCTACTACAGTCAAGACAAGCAACTAGTTATGTTTTATGTGGCTTGTCCTTAGGAGTTCAACATTATCACACCCCCTGCAGACCACACAAACCATAAACATCTTCGAGCTCCAAACTATCATTAGATAGTTTTTATTGAATTCTAAGTCAATACTAAGCTGGTTAGCTGGCAAGTTCATAATCACCAGAGGTAATATTCACAGTTCAGGAGATGGGGTCAACCAAGAGCTGGATGTGCATGTGTGATTTCCTACTTTCATGATAAAAAGTGACAACGTTCAAAATACCCAATATTGATATTTTACACAGGAAACCTCTCAGTCAGAAGAGTCTTTGGCTTCACCCCACTAGAACCACACCAGGATTTCTGGTGAGAAATGAAATTTCAGAAATATTTCAGCACTCGATACCAGCGACATTTATTAACCATGTCGAGGCTTACCTTATCATCCTCAATAACCATCTCCAACCTGTGCTCAGGGAAGTGCCAATTCCTATATTCACATGGAGTGCAGCAGCGTGCAAAGGACCAAAATCCAGAGATGAAAAATGCCAACAGAATGAAGACGAACAAAAGCCACGACTACGGCAAAACCAGACCACGGAGCATCCACCAGTGCTCCCAAGGCTCCAGGGAATGGCTACCACAGGTCTGCTGTGGGCTGAGAACATGAGGCCAAAATCCAGTGACAACTAGAGCAGGCTGGCTATGGAGCCAAGGTGTGAAGGGTTGTTTAGAGCACACCCTCATGGTGTGCTTTCCTACCAATAAATAAAATATCGAGATGATGCTCAACCTTTACCTGGAGAAACACACTCAGCACAGTGTGAAGCTGAAGGAACACGACGCGATGCTCATGAGCCTCCACGGGGAACAGCCCTTGGCTTCACGGTGCCCAGGGGATGATGATGCTCAGGGCTCTTTGCCACACAGCAGTCCCTGTCTCCTGAAGACTCCACCACTGACGAAAAGCAGGGTTTCCCCTCACCATGAGCTTGTTCTTCTTCACAGAAGCACAGAACCGGTCAGGTCGGAAGGGACCACAGCGGGTCATCTGGTCCCGCCTCCCCGCTCAAGCACAGGATCGCATCCAGATGGTTCCGGAGTATGTCCAGACTCACGCCACGCATGGAGTTGGTGTAAGACAAGCCAAGCTCCTCACCGGGAGCTCTGAGCTCTGCGGTGATGGCTGACGAGGGCCGGGGGTGGGTCCAGGTACAGCCCGGCCCGCTCAGCACCGCCGGCACGCGCTCCCCCTCAGCGCGGGGAGCGCCGCACGGAGCCGCGAGGAGCCGGGGGCCGTGGGGCAGCGTTTTCCCTCAGACGAATGACCCGGACGGCTCCAAAGTGTCGATGGCCGATGGCTTCGCGCCACCCGACGTCCCTCAGCCGCTTCGAACCGCCGGCCGCCGCCTCCACGTGGGGGGCAGGTGGCGGGCGGCCCGTGCTTTCCATCAGCCGGGGCGGGCGGGAGAACCCGCAAAATGGCTGAGGGGGCGCGGGAGAGGCACCGCTGTGCCCGGCGGGGAGCGGGGGGCGAGAGCTGCCGCCCCTCCCCGGGCCGCCCCTCCTCGGGGGGCTCCCGGCCCCGCCGTCCCCTCGGCGACGGCCGGGCCGGGTGGGGCGGCCATGCGGCGCCGAGGGGGCGGGAAGGTGCCGGCAGGGCCGCCCGAGGCCCCGCGCCCGGCTCTCCCCGTGGTGACCTTGGGCGGGCGGCGCGGCCCTCCCCGACAAGCGCCCGCTTCTCGCCCCCCCACACACTCCCCCCGCCCCTCTATTTTTTATTCTTTTTAAATTATAATTTTTTATTTATTTATGTTGGCCGCGGAAAGAGTTTTGAGGCGGGGGGGCGGAGGGGAAGAAGGCGGGGGGGGGCAGAGGAGGCCGCCGTCAGAGCGGCCCGGGGACTTTCCCTGCCGGAGGGAGGGCGCAGAGGGGGAGCCGTCCCGGTCCCCGCCCGGGGCGGGAGGCGGCGGCGGGCGGGGTGTGAGGGGAGGGCGGGGGGCGCCGGCCCCGCCGCCGCGGGGGAGACGCGGCTCCCGGCGCTGTGCGCCCGAGCTGCTGCTGCTGCTGCTGCTGGTTACGCCAGCCCCGCCGCCTGCCTCTCCGCTCTCCTCGCCTCTGATTCTGCGCACAGCCAGCCCCAAAGCCTGTCATTCTGCAAAACACAGTTTACTCAACAGAGAGAGCGAGTGGGGGAGCGGGAGAGGTGGAGAGAGGGAGACGGCGCGGAGGAGCCCGGTCCCGCACCCCAGCATGGCTTCGGGGGACCTTTACGAGGTAGCGGGGGCCGCGGGGCGGGCGGGCGGCGGGGGGGGCGCCGGCCGGGGCGCCGCCGGGGGCAGCGGGGGCGCGTTCGGAGCCGCTCCGCCGAGCCCTCGTAGTTGCAGAAGAGCGGAGGAAATCGCCGAGGGAAGGGCTGGGGTGGGGGGAAAAGGGCTGGCGTGTGTGCCCGGGGGGGGGGCAGGGAGGGATGGAGCGGCTCCCCTCCCTTCCCGCTGCCTCTCTCTTTCTCTTTCTCTCTCTACTTTCCATCGGGCTTGATCTTAGCAGGCCTTGCAAGAGGGAAGGAGGAAGGAGTGAAGGAGAGCGAGAGTTAGCGGTAGGATGGGGAGGCGATCGCGGTGTGATGAGCCCGGAGAGTGGAGAAAGTCCAGGTAAAGTCATAGGCGCTCTGGACGTGCTGAATGTGCAGATTAGTGCGAAAAAATGCGCCTTAGCGCTGCCGGGAGGCGCAGGGATGGAGGCGGCTCTGCGCCCGCTGTGCAAAGTGCAGGAGCCGGCGCCAGGTTGCTTCACCTCCTGCCCGGGGTGCTGCGGGGGTGGCGGGGGCGGCGGCCGGGCCGGGCCCGGGCTCCCCGCGGGCCGCAAAGTTTGGCGGGGGCCCCGCTCCGGGCGGCCCGGGCTGCGGGAGGGGCGGGCGGCGGCCCCCGGGCCCCCCAGCCCAGCCCGCCGGGCGCTGCCCCCCGGCCGCGGCCACAGCGCCGGGGCACCATCGGCCGCCCGGCTCCTCCGGCTCGGGACAGGGAGGGGACAAGGGGCCGGAGACCCTGACGAATTTTGACCGCTGGCGCCCAGTTGTAATGCCCCAACTGAGAACGGGTCTAGCCACTCTTGCCATGCCGGAGAAGAAGAAGAAGAAGAAGGGAGAAAGCTGAAATTAAAAATAAGGCAGACTGGACCTGGTGGTTTGAAATATCCTGTTCCAGTAAGTGGAACCAGGGTGGAAGTCTATCATCTAAAGACACCAAACGTGACTGGATGTCCTACACTTCTTGGTCTGGAGCACCTCCTCAGGCTCCTGGTGTTTCCTGGTGAAATGGCTGTTTGTGTTGTGGTTCTCTGGAGAGCACAGTTTAAGGGCTAGGACTGAAACCATCACCTTCCAGTTGGAGCTGTGTGCTGATGATAGGCACTGCTCAACCATCAGGGTGTGCTTGGGTGTGGAGCTGCTGCTGTGGTTGGTTGGACTTACTCCACGTTTGATGATCTTGATGATCAGCTGTAGGGTCTCAGGAGCAAGACGTCGAGGATCTGAGAGGTTTCACGTAGGCAGTTTTTACTTTCATTGTCTTTCAAAGTCTTTGACAGAGGTCATAGTTAAGGGATGACATTGCTCTACTAGGGCTGTATTTTGCTGTGTGTGACACAGACCTCCTCTGAAGTGAACAGCACTTCAGCTCTCCTCCAAGGTGTTAAATTATTGGAAGTACATGATGATCTGAATAGTACCATTGGTGTTTTTTCTCTCCTTTTTGGGGTATCTGCCATTTAACTTTGTAATTTTAAGGATATTGCATGTCACCTGTGTTGCTGTTGTGACTCTGGAATAGCCAGTGGGAGTTCTGTGAAGAACAACTTTGACACAAAAAAGTTAGCGACACAACTTTAGTATGAGTAGTTTCTGGGATGCATGGAGGATCTTTGCCTGGTGTTGTCCGAGTTTTCTTCAGATGTTTCAATTAGTTCTAGAAGGAAATAAAGCTGGTGTGTCTCAGACTAATGGTGGCCATGCTGGTTTAGCTCTGACGCGTCGTTAAAAAATTCGGCTGTTTCTGATCTTTGCGTCACAAGACGGTGACGTTTGGCCGTTGGTCGTGGGCTGTGCACTGAGTACCACTGTGTGGCATCCCAGAGAGGTTGCTCGAGGAGTAACCTGGTGTGCAGGAGTTCTGTGAGGGAACACACAGCCCAGTTTGCAGGCAGTGTTAGGCCCAGTCATTTTGCCGGCGTTTGCGTGGATGGATGTGAATTGTTGGTCCTGTGGTTCAAAGCCTCTGAATCACTTCCTTTCTTTGTTACTCCATTTGAGCTACTTTTGCTTAGCGTTGTACAACATGGAAGACTTGTCTCCACCAGAACAGGTAAGAAGTGTGGCTGTTCATTCCTTGTCATGTGAGATGTTTGGAATATGACCTTCTCAATTGCTCATGGTGTAAAATCTTCATCTACGAGTTGGACATGTGGGAGAAAGTACATGCGGGGCTTTGGTTGTCAATCCGTCTGCATTTTGCGTCTTCACGGTGAAGTTCTCCATGACAGAGGTCGGAAGAAATGTCTAGAAAGCTGAAGAGTTTGTAGGTCTAATGGATAGGAATTGGTAGTGGCTTCATTTAAAAATCGACTCAGCTTTGCCTCCCTGCTTCTTCCCTTCCCAGAAAACCAACTGCATCAAGGGGATTTATTGGAAGGAAGCTCTTAGAGCTGGGATGTCCCACACCAGGTTGCACATGAGATGAAGAGCTTTGTGCCTTCAGAGCAGTCCAAGTTCTTGCTTGGACACATCATTCTTCTCTGCCCTCCTGAACTAGTAGAACATTACGTGGATCACAGGATGACCATCAAACAGTTCCAGGAGTTTACCTTGAAATAATTTGAGGCTGTGGGTGGAAATAAATAATTTGGGTGTTATTGCGACAATTCCAAAGATATATTGCACTCCTGATTCCATTCTGACTCCTTAGAAATATCCAAGTCCTTCAAGGATTCTTACTGAACTTCAGCAAATAAGACAATAATTAACTCTGCAATTTGAGGTATTTAATCCTGGCTGCAAAATCATTTTTGTTAAAGCCAGTCACGATCTAGGAGCTATGATAAAGCACATGAAGGAGTACAGTGTGTATATTACCTATACAAGCCTCTCATATTTTGGTGGCACTCAAGAAACTTTTATAATTTTTTAAGTTTTGGAAATAGATGTGCATATTTATCTTGTCAGTCAATTCATTTTATACTGTCATGTTATTTTAAAAGGCTTTTCAACCTTTTAAACTTAAAGATAAATTCAATTACTGTCTTTATAATGAAGCAAAATAAGATCACAGGCAAAACAACTTCAGTGTTTGTTTGACTAGGTGCCTTTTTCTGTTTAGAAATGGCATCTAATTACCTGAAAAACCCTGTTACATTTGGGTTTGGATTGTGAAACAGGTACTGATTTATTCTGGAAGCAAGAGAACACCCCTTGGGAGTTCTGTGTTTACTGGTAGTTCAGTTCTAGAGCTGTGTATTAGAACCAAGACACTTTACAGCAAAAGCAAGTTATTCCATTATATGGTGGAATGTAGGTGTTAGTTTTGACGTTTTCAAAGTACATTTTTTCCCTTTAAGAGTAAGGAATGCTGTGTATGCTTTAGTGTAATTCTCAGGCTACATGAAATGCTGGTTTGGCTTTGCTTGACTTCCATGTGCTTATGACTCCAAGCTTTTATGAGTGGGTGAAAGTGTCATGGAATACTCCCTTTTTTTTTTTCCTTGTTTTTCCTTATAAGAGGTGACCTGTTAAATATTAAAGACCTATGATGCGTGTTCCTTAGGAATAACAGTCTGAAAATAAAGGACTGACAAAAGGGTATTCACAGTGGCCTTCAGCAAGGCAGCCTTGGTTTGCCTTGTGATTCACATACGCTGTTGGATGCATTGATAGGAGATCCTCGTTCAGTTTGGTAACCAACAGAAAGGGAAATGTATTTACTCTTAAATACCAAGTTTGTTGATTCACATTAAAGTTCTCAGTAACTTGAAATAACATTTTGTATTTTCCATGTACAATTTAGTTGTCACATTATCTAAACCTTGACAGTTCTCTCACAGAGACTCTGGTATTACAAGTCCATGAGATGGCTTTAGAGGGGGAAAAACTCCATAGGAACAGTGCACCTAACTTTATTTTTCCTAGCCCAGAGCATCCTGTTTACTGCAATAACCCCCCCCTTTATTGATGAGTATGTGAATCAGTATCATAGAGATGCTCCTCAAGATGACTTTTTTTTAATATAATATTTGGGGGGCTTGTATACAATGAACAACTTAGACTTTCAGGGGTGATGATGTTGAAATCTGAAGTCATATTTTACCTTGTGTCAGATTGTGTTACCACACCTTTGGTAAGTGATCTAAAGATTATAGCTGAATCTCTGAAGGGGACTGTCACATGCATGTGTTTCTGGATCACAATAATAAACCCAGTGGTGTTTGCTTTAAAGTGAAAAAGTGTCAATTTAAAAACTGGTATCTTCTCACTGAAATGATACAACACCCAAGGACAGGAGCTTGCCCACCACGGTGACAGGTTTCAATCCAATCTTAGCCTGTTTATGCAGCCCTGTAAGAACAAGCTGCAGTTTATTTCAGCTCACCTGATCCAGCAGAAAGATAATGTACTTCCAGATAATTGCAACATCTCCCATTTATACCTGCACTCAGGTACCAGCAAAGTCAAAACTTGAAGCTAACAATGGCACTGTTTGGGCTGCTGAAGCCTCATGACATGTGGAGACGTGCAAGTGGGAGAGAACAGGGTTGAGCTTTTGGATGCAAGGTTTGGATTGCAGATGCAGGGTTTAGAAAAGCATCTTTGCTTTACAAAGTGAGCAAATGCAAGTTTTGGAGCATTGTGGTTTTCCATCTTGCATCTCTTTCAATGGAGTCACTTTTTAGCAGAGACAGAGACTTAAATCTGCTGATTGAAATGAAAAGCAGAAATCTGTTTTTTAAATCATTTCAGCGTGTACTTTCTAAGACAGAGGTGACTTGCAAGAAGATGGTGTATTTAAGTAAATTATTAATATGTCTCAAATCAAGCTCTTTATTGATATAACTGTTCCATGGTGAAGGAACAAGACTGATTCCACAAGCAGAGGACAGTGGCTCCAAGTAGGATCTGGGGAATATAGAACAGTTCAGCACCTACTGCTTCTGTACCTTGGCAAGCTGTGGCTGCAGTGCTGGTTTCAGTAATACTTTGATGAGTAATATTACTTTCAGTAATATTTTGATGAGTCAGCTATTTATATGTTATCATTGATCTGTTCTCAAAATCAGTATTTAAAGACAACTGTCCTCAAAGTCAGGTCACCTCTGAGCAGCATTGCCCTGGGTTGGTGGAAGTCCAGAAATTTTGTTGCCAGTAACAAAGAGCTAACCTGAGGTCCCTTCTGCTCAGGTCCTGGAGTTCTCGAAATGAAAGACAGAGTGAGGTTCTAAAGTGTAACTGGATAACTCTGGCAATATTCATTATCTGCCTCAGAAATTCCAGTGCTGAGCCTCGTATGGAACATTACAATGCACATAATGACTGTCTTGTTTACCTACAGCGTCACTCTGTTACCACGGGTCCAACTTCCTCATTACATTGTAAACTGCTGGGCATATTTTGGGGCCCTGAAAACCAATTGATTTCTTGTTACAATCTTGATAAAGTGTTTTATCTGGATCAAGTGTAGTTTCCTTCAAGGTACATGGCATAAGTGTACTCCTGGCTTGGGAGGGACACTGAAAATACACCCTGTCCCTCCTGAAAGCCTCAACATTTGCAGTGAAGGCACCACCAAAGCCACTGAACTGAACGTGGTTCAGTGCTGAGAACTATTCAAAGGTTAAAATGACATCATTTTTTGGTAATACTTTCTGAATGACAAATACGGTGCTTTACTTTGGGCTGGTCTTTGATTCAAAATTCAAATCCAGCAACAGACTCATTGTTTAGTAATTGCTTGTGACAGTTAAAATATTTAGGGACATTTCAAATAATGGCAAAATTTAAACGTGGTTTAATATTGAAAGAAATGGGCTAATTATTTTTTTTAAATCAATGGAGTATTTGTGATGGCCAGCTATGCTGTAAATAGCATTTCTTTGTCCATTCATTTGACTTTTAGCAGCATTAGAGTTTCTTGGCTCTGTACATTTTCATCAGTGCAATCCCTTTGTATTGTTCTTTCTTATCCATATATTTTTCATTTATTTTCATTTATTTTTCATTTATTTCATTTTATTCATATATTTTTCAAAAAAGTTAACTAAATAGTTAAATGTCCCTTGCATTCAAACTATTAAGAACAATATCACTGAAGTGAAACGTTGGCAAGGCAGGGCAACTGGTAGTGGGGTATGTGAATTCTGGCTTTCTTTACATTCATGCAAATACAAATATTCTCATTTTGACAGAAGGAAGTTCATCATTTTGGCCTGTTGAATAATTATGTCACACTCTTTGTTTATTATCAAAACTTTGCACTGGTAATATTGCAAATACACTTCAATCTATTTTCTTATACTACATAGAGAAAATGTAGATTACAATAGTATTTTAATATTATCTCCTGATGACCCTTATATAAAATATTGTTGCCAACCTATTAGGTGTCTAAAAACTTTCACAAGAAGTCGATATAGTTGACCTGTGTAGGAAAGAATGATTCCTCTTGTGGCTCACCAGAAAAGAGGAAATAGGTTGACTCTTACAAAATGGTAAAGGCTGGCAGTGTGAGCAACAGACTACAACAACACACTGAAACAAAACCAGCATTGAAAACATCTGTCAGAAAGACACTGTTGGAAAAAAGCAGTTGCCCCACCTGGGCTTTGCTAGATTTCTCCCAGTCTACCCCCGAAAATTGCAGCCTGTTCTTTAAGAGGAGCGAAACAGGAACAGTGAGGATATTTTTTTCCATAAGGCTCTTCACTGCATTTATTTATATTTTGGGGGAGTTTTGTGAAATCATCTTATAGTAAAATAATCACTTCAATGTGCTCATCACAGCAGTAAGTCTGAGATCCATTGCACCTCCCAGAAGAAATGGAATCAGCAGATTCATGGGAACGTGTGTCTTGTTTGTACAGGAGTTAACATTTTGAAAGGAAGAACTCTTGGTCAATGTCTACATAAGAATGGCTCTGGCTGGTGTGTTTTTTCCAAAAACCTTATTGTAAAACCCCACAGGAGCAGTTGGTTAATGACACCAGGGTGTGGTCCAGAAGAGTTGGTCATCTCTTACCTGGTTCACAGAGAGGGTGTCTATGAACAAAGTTTCCAAATATCAGTATTAGGGCCCGTGTTGTACAACAGAATCATCAGTTGTTTGAAAATAATCACTATTACTCTTGACAATTCATAGATTATCATTATAATTGTCAAGACAAAGGTTGACAATGAAGAGCTGGGTGACAGCAGCTGAAATTCAGTGTTTATAAATGCAAGCTAATGATCAAAGGAAAAATAATCCTGATTAAACATGCATAAAAATGAGCCCTGAAGAATCTGTTACTATTCTGGAGAAATCTTGGAATCATTGTGGAAAGTTTCTGGGTGTGTCCACATTAGTGTTTTAATTTGGATCAGGTGCATGCTTTTGAAGTGAATCTCCCTGTGATCCCCAGTCACCACACCTCTGTTTGCATCCCAGCACTGTCTTGGAGAGCAGTGACCAAACTCCCTCCCCATGACACTGAACCAGAAAAGGGGTTCCAGCTCCTGGGGGGTGTCTGGTCCATGGGACCAGACTACAGCTTGTCAGAGCAAAACCTCAGGCAAGCACAAGTTTAGGTGTTAGTAAGGAAGTATTTGAGAATGAAAGAGATGATGATCAACCTCCTG